CCTGCTGAGCAGAACTAGTACCTGTTCTTTATTTGATAACAAATTTTGTGTGATCAATGCAAATAACTGCATTACCAACTGATTCTACACATATTAAATAACTGGAAAAGTTTTCAAGATTCCAGTGGTATATAAACAAGTTCCAAGCTTCATCTGCCTTTGTTTTCCATTTATAGAATAAGGATAATAACATTTCTATGAAGATGTCATGTGAGCATATTCACTGATATTTAACAAGCCCTTCGATGAAACAGCAATGAGTACCCACCCAAAACAAGTACCAGACTTTTAAAATTATAAATATAGTTAAGTTTGTGCAAACTGGTAGCTTAATTTTAAACTGTCATGGACAGCACTACCCAGCTTTATACTTCAAGGTGCCCAAAGCCAATAGAAATTATTTTATAACGATCTTATGTTTCCCCGTTGCATCTCTTCTCTCCTAGTTCTCTGTGTGCGTGACAAGCCTTCCTACTTTGCCTACAGGCTTTATAATGCAATTCACGTAAGTAGTTTTTCTTCTTCACATTTCATAAAAAGCAGCTTCCCTATTTTTTTGTTTGCTTGATTATTCTTAAACAAGTACTTACAAATCAGCCTGTTCAATCTTTAAGGTGTGATTGCGTGTTTTAAAAATGTAGGTGCCTACATAAATTTCAGAGCAGTAGTGCCGAAGCAACAGTTAGGATTTAACAGTGACAGTAAAGGGTGAAATATTTAGATTCCTTAAAAAAATATCTGTCTGGTAACTTTGTCAATTTTTTAATTTAAAATCTTTCTTTTCTATGGATTGTATCTCCCCCTGCTGTGCAGAACTCAATGTGCACTCTTCTTACTACGCAGTTTTTGTCTCTAGAGACTTAGTAAGCCTCACCAACAACTAAAACATAAATTAATGATACAAAAAACCAAATGGCCACATTTTCTTGTAGGGCTGCATGTATATACGCAGGTTCTTTTCTCTTTGTGTGTAAGTGCTAACATACTAAAACAAATCAGTGCCAAGAAGAAATGTGGGTAAATGTAAAGAAACACCTACAAATTCTTCCTAGCAGAGGCCACTGAAGACATTTTTTTTTGTTTTTCATTCATTACTGAAAATACCGAGGCATTATGTTATACAAAAAATAAAGTATAATCTTTTAAGCTTAATATTTTAAGTGTAATCTTTAGAAGATGGTCATAAAAGCCAGCCACAGGTAAAACGTGATGTATTATCTTAAAGCAGAATGGCAAATACAGCATTCATGTCAGGACTATTGAACAAAACTTTTCAGCAACACTTCAGCAGGGCCCCAGTATCCTCTTCCAGATGCTGCCACTAGTGCTGTCCCCTGTTTCAGCTAAACCAGCAGCAGTGGCAGCAAAGAACCAAGGAAAATCCCAGGGGACTGAGAGTAAGAGGCAGTATTTTGTCTGAGTGAAGATTCTGGCACACAACATGAAAACGGTTTGCTGAAAGTACCAGGAAATACCAGCTGTCAGGAAAAGTGACGTTTCTCAAAGGTCCTGTATCAAGACCACTTTTCAAGTTAAAATCTCATTTTTAAGAAATACCACATAAATAGTTTCCTTCTGTATTACAGTCAGATGATGTATGTGAGGCAGGAAAAAGGTTTTAATGATTAAGAATAAACATCTGCATTTTTAAAATTAATATTTTACTCTGTTTTCTCAAGTTTTTTTAATGAACAGATAATTCTCAAAAGAAATGCAAGAATTTAAGTGTCTGTTTTTGCAGTCATGTCCAGATTATACCAAAAGCTTTTTATATGTCCATTTATAATACAATATAATAAAATCCACCCAGGGTTCTAATGCTTGAAATCACAAACCATAATGGTTTATAAGACAGATTTTAATCTAGCCAACAAACAGGTATAAATTCTCTATATGCAGCTTTTTAACATATCTAATTACTTGGTTTTTGGAAAACAAGGTTTCAGTATCAATGGCTAGTTGATAAAATTATGACTTAGATTTAAGCAATCTAAACTGGTCATCAGTCATTCCAACCCTAAATCTGGTTTGATTTCTTTTATGGCCACTAGATGTCTTCATTCTCCACACAATTACAATATGAAAAATTACTTCGCAACAGTTAAAACACCACATAGCTGAATACAAGCTATGTAAATTCTAAATCAATGGTTAAAACTCTTGCTGAATTCACGTTCAGCAGCAGCTGTTGTGAAATAGATTACTGACTTCAACACGGTTTAAAGGGCCCCCCCCCCAGCCACAACCGCTACCTACAAACTGAATACCTAAGACTACTGAAAAAGTTCATCAGGCTTTTCTTTTTAAAAATTTCAGTGCATGGTTAAAACACTGATATGTGGAGAAACTCGTTATTCAGTAACATGAATTCTGTTATCTGAGTATGTGAAAACTCTGTAGGATAAAACCTTTCAATGCTCAGACTCCTTTAAAATTGAGGATATCTTTACCGGTAGCCTAATTAATTGGTTTATCTATTAAACATTAATATGAGCACATACAGATAGCCAAACGTATATTGTCAAACTGTCAAGTTTCCTCTTATCTTCTTTTCTTTTTAGGACTTTGGGTTTCACAATAAAACAGTTATAAGGATCCTCATTTCCAGGAGTGAGATTGACTTGATGAATATACGACAGCGATACAAAGAGAGATATGGGAAATCACTCTTTCATGACATTAAAGTAAGTTTTTATACACTTTTGCATATATTCAGCACTGGCACCACACAGACTGTGCCAAGCCCTATCAGAAAAATACAGAGGGTTAATCTCTATTCAGTCACTTGGGTTTCTTTTTCAGTGCCTCAGTCTGACTTCAGCAAGCAAGCAGTGAATTCTCAGCTCACTCCCATTGTATGTGATTTTGTCTCTCCCCAGCAGCAAGAGGAGGATATAAACAGAGCAGGACAGTGTATGCTGAAGAATAGTTTGTGTGAACAGTGTCTACACTAATTGATACCATCTTCTTTCACACTGTCCTGCAAGTTTAGGCTGATACCACTTCTGTGCAAAACTGAGATAAGAATCTGGCTTTATCCTTGCACTTAGGTAGTATCAACCTTCAGACAAACTATTCCTCTTGTACTCTGTACCTTAAAACAAAACTCTGACGCTGTTTAACTGTATAAAAATTACTCTTGCTAAGACACTCTAGCTTTTTTATGCTGCTGCAATCCAACTGTAAGATGTGCAGTAACTGTAAGAAATTGCTCGTGATTTTTTGGTATTGAATTTGAGAAGTATTAAACAAGTTTGATCCAGCCTTTCAAAGGCAGATTGTTTCTAGGTGCCCAAGCAATCAAAGCCCAAGGTATGTGACATTAAAAAAAAAACTTGCCCTAGAACCCTTATGAAAACACTGTAATATTTTACAAAACCTTACAACATCAGTCTAGTCCTTGTCGCACACCAAGAGAAGAAAAAACAAGAAAATGTATAGTCACTGAAATGTTGGGGTTTTTTCTTGCAGCATTTTGCTTCGGGGCATTATGAGAGTGCTTTACTTGCTATCTGTGCCGGTGATGCTGAAGATTATTAAGCATGAAGACAACGAACTTTGAAGTTTGTGTAAATCTATTTTAAATAGAAAGTGAAGCTATACACAATACATTAACTGTAAGAGATCCCTATTCTACACAAAAGAAAAGAAAAATCAGTGCTACAGATTTGCTAATATTAAATCTTTCTTGAGACAGGAAAAATGTTGGCAGGAACATGGTTTTATCCCTAGCTCTAATTAATATTTCTGTTTCTATGATTAAAGTAAATTAATGAAGCAAGCAGTGAAATAAATCCATGTAAGCATATGTTTATCATTCAGTCTCGAAACTTCCCAAACATTAGAGAACAGGCTCTGGAAGAAGCTTCCTATTCACTTTCACACAGGAGAGAAAAAAATGTTTTTGCTTTATTTACTTTTAGCACCATGATTTCCTCCTTTAAGTATTTTTTTTTCTTTCTTACTTCTTATACCTCATGCTTTACGCTCTTCAACATCATTGTTTCAGTCACTATCAAACTAAGCATCTGCCCCAGTCTATTGCCAGTCAGTCATCAAAGAGTGTTTTCGTATTCTCTTTCATTTAGCCCACATAGAACCATAGAACGGTAAGGGTTGGAAGGGACCTTAAAGATCATCTAGTTTCAACCTCCCTGCCATGAGCAGCACATACTTAATGGCATTTCCCTTTTTCCATTTGAAACGAAAGACAGAATTAGAATCAAGTACCCCAAACCATTCTAGGTTTAGTGCCACACACTGGAAACCCCTGGAAGGAAGATGAAGCACTGCATAGCTCTGAGCGGAGAAGTTCCAGAGAATCAAACCCTGAAATCCCATTTGCGCCGATCTCATTTTAATCATTAATTGAACACCGACCTTCTGAGCACGGAGGTGTCTCCAGGACGCCGACACCGCTTCCCCGCCCCCCGAGCCCGCCGGGCGCAGCTCCTCGAAGAGACTTTCCCGCCGGGGCGTTCGCGCCTCCCGCCACGCCCTTACGGAAAGGCACATCAGCAAGGGGAGATCTGGTAACCTCCGCCCAAGTCACTGCCCTGCGTTTTTCTCCTCCGGCTACAAGGTGTCCAACGTGACACAGAAACTCGATTTTTTTTTTAAAATAGTTACTTTCTGCAAGTATAGCTCAGTACCACTGAACAAAGCACTACCATAAAAACATACAGATACCTGGCTGCTTTTGTGCTGTTTGCACCTGTCCCTTCCCTCAGCCTGCGAAAATAACGCCATTTCCAGCGTATCTCGCTTTTTCGCAAGTGCTGACTTCACGCTGCACATCTGTTGATTTACAATAAACTTAAAATTCCAGTTGTTTGACACATCTCAAAACGTTTCAGGTGAGCAATGCAATCACTAAGCCAGAACTCTGGAAGGAGCGGTTCTCTGAGGGAAAATAAACTAAAAACACAGGTGAGAAGGAGCTGAGCACCACCCGGACGCGTCGGCACCGCCAAGCTCCTGCGCTCAGCTCGTATGGCGATTCCGCGGCTGGAGTCGGAGGTCGCTACGGGCAGCAACACTGCGGAGTCGCTTCGCTCTGACCCCCTGCGTACGTGAGGGCTC